ATACTAAACGCAGCCTCATTCTGCAAGCAGGTCAGCAGCAAAACAGCGTTATCATCCCTCTGCCCGCAACAGATGAGCCTTCAAAAGATGACTGAAGTACACAAAATTTGCCCAGGTCTCTCCGTGCTAAATAGCTGCAAACTGTGTTTGGAAGGATCCAGTTTATCTCCTCCAAACCCCTGGGCTGCTACCACTCCTGCTTGCCAAAAATCCACAGAGCCAGCACCTATTGTGACTTCTTTCTTTTTCCCTGTGCTGAATGCATCTTTATGGAGATGTAAAAGGGCGTCTGTAGATGGAGTTTGAATCCCCTCTGGCCGTGCCAAGCCTTACTGACTGGTGTAGTACCTCTGTTTTGTCTCCCCCAGGATTGCTTGCAGCCGCTGAGCATGCAGGCCCTTCCCGCGCAGCCCGAGTCGCTGTGCATCGTGGAAATGGGCGGCACGGAGAAGCAGGATGAGCTGGGCGAGCGCGGCTCCATCGGCTTCCTCTACCTGAACATCGGCCTGCAGGTGAGAGCCGCCCACCTGGTTCCAAAAGGCTTTTTCTTGCCGAGCATTCACTTGAAAAGATGGATTGTTGTAATAGCCCCGTCCTCGTGTGACACGACACAAAGCCTGACTGTTCCCTCTTCGTTACAGTGCGCTTAACAACTGTGACTGGGGAATTTGCTGCGTGACTTCATACGGGTACAAAATTCCCTGTGCCTTCCTAGACTTGAGATTAGTGGAAAGTTAGCCTGTTGTCCCTGGCTTCGTGGAGGACAAATTGTGCTTTTCGCCTTCCAGAAAGAGGGCACGATCTTAACTTTCTGGGTGAAACGTTGTTGGGCAATTCTTGTAAAAACTGCCTGTAGGGCAGAGTATTGGAGAAGTAACTGCCCACAACCACAGGCTCTGCTCTAGTAACTCTGCTGTTGCACAGCTTTTTCTTGCATCCGGTACCGACTCTGTGATCTTTGACCAAAAAATGTTGTTTTGACAATTCAACATGTAAAAATAATCGGAGCAGCCTAGGTTCTTCCAGATGCCTAGAGTTTGATGTCAGAAAGCAAGCTCTTGTTGAAGCAGTGTGAGTTTTTTGGGTAGGTGCTTTGCATGAAAAAGAATTAGGATCTGGAATCGGCCCTTGGGATTTTTCTGGCTTTTGTGGTGCGCCAAACTTCATCTGGTTTTTTGGTGTTTGTTTGTTTTGGTGGGGGTTGGTTGCTCGTTCTGTTTTGCAGGAATTCCTTTCTGCCCTGTAGAAATACGCAGGAGCTGTGCTTGGTAATAATTAAGAGCCAGTTTAGATGGAGCGTGATTGCGGAAGGGAGTTGTGCCCCACGCTGAGAAAACAAACACCTAATTCTCCCAAAATTGCCTTTTTGTTTTGAATAATGGCTGTAGCTATTCTTGTGTGTAATCTTGATCCAACTTTTTTTGCTTTGCTACCCTCAAGAATGGTGTGCTGCTGCGAACTGTGCTGGATCCCGTTACCGGTGATCTTTCTGACACCAGGACCAGATACCTCGGCTCACGGCCCGTGAAACTCTTCCGAGTCCGAATGCAAGGCCAGGAGGCGGTAAGTGAGGCGAGCTCCAAGGGCTGCACGTCCAGTCCCCAGGAGCCGCATCCCGGTTTTCCGTAGGGGGTGGCAGGGTGGGAAAGCATCCTTGCGGCACAGCGGGACCTCCTGGGAAAGGGTGGGAAGTAGATTGGCTTCATCAGAGAGCTGCCTGGCTCCTTTCACAAACAATCTTGTTGGTATTCCCCTTAATTCGTAGGAAGTCAGCGTGGTGCTGCCCTGCCTTTGAACTACAACTCGCCGCACCCCGTAGTCTGTGTTTGCAGCGTGTCTGGAAAGCTCCAAGCTGATTCCTGGGCTTAGAGGCACCAAAAAATTGTGCCTTGCCTGCCTTAGCAGGGACAGAAGGAGCCCTGTGCAGGAATCTTACCCCTTGACTGCTTGACGCAGTTGACAATGATCTCCGGCACGTGTTGGGAATGGCTGAGCCAGGGGCTGGACAGCTGCCGCCTGTCGTTCAGGGAAAATATTTGTTAGGGTTTGGCAGAGACGTGTTCCATCCAAAGTGCCATTTCCAGCCTTTCTGATGTGACACTGGGGAGATCAGCCACCCCCTGCTTGACTTCATTTTTGGATGATGCTTTCCAAGTTGAGAAATCTGGCTGGTCGGTGTAGGGGGGCGCTGGATCCGGGAGTCTGAGCTCTGTTCTGATAACGCTGGGTGAGTCTCTTCAGCTTGCCTCTGCCAGCTCTAACTGGGAGCTGAGGTGCTTTGCAGCTCTGCCATGGAATGCTTCTAGAACAGCTGAGTGCTTTTCTGCTTCAAGATGAGTCTTGGTTCCTTGTTTTCACAATATGGGGAATAAAAAACCTGCTGCTTTTGGCCAGTCACTCATGGCCTTGGAGTAGCCCGTGAGTGTTTCGATGTAATTCCAGATTCTGTTGCTCAGGCAGAAAATTATATTGCGCTGGAATTGGTTTAGCCAAATGTATAAAGCTGAAGAGTTCAGAAGTCCATCTGCTTCTTTTGTTTCCTTTAACTTGGTTGAAGATGGGCTATTGATTATTTTAAGTAAATTTCGCTTAGAGCACTACAACATTTGGATTGTGACAAAAGAGTAAATATTTACTGTAAAAGACCTGTTCCCCTTAGAACAGACTATTGTTTGGTTTTTTTAAACAATAAGGAGATACAAAAGTATTTATTGATCTTGGCTTTTACAGATAACAGCTTTTTTATTGCACCTCAATTTGAGTGTTCATTGTCTTGGTAGTGCTTTAAAGTTCCTCTTTGGGCTCTACACAATTTCCAGATAAAACTCTCTCTTGTAAGCAAATAGTATCTTCGAAGGTACTCTCTGAGCTGAGTGGAGTCCACCCACCAGAATTCAGTTGTCCTAGAGCCAGGTGCTGGGCATCCAGTCGTATGGCAAGGAACGAGCTTGCCTCCGTCCCCAGACCTAATTAAATGTGTTTTCTGTCTTCCCCAGGTGCTGGCCATGTCAAGCCGTTCCTGGCTCAGTTACTCCTACCAGTCACGCTTCCACCTGACTCCTCTCTCTTATGAGACTCTGGAGTTTGCGTCTGGTTTTGCTTCCGAGCAGTGCCCGGAGGGCATCGTAGCCATCTCCACAAACACGCTGAGGTAAAAACGGATGGGGCGGGGGAAACTTCTGGGCCAGGGTGTGAGGCAGAGGGAAGAGCGACGAGTTCTCACTAGTCAGGCAGAAGTGGCTTACCTCAAGAATTAAGGTTTATTTTGAGGTTATTTGACGATGGATAACGATTTGATAGAAGCATTTGGATGGATTTCAGAAAACAAATGGAATGCAAGGATAGCTACGCTGTCAAAAAGAAATAGGGTGCACATCTCTGATTTGTGTTTTCTAGCTTTTCTTAGGAATGAGTAATCCAAGGTACCCTTAAATTCTCTGATGCTTGGAGAGGAGGGAGGCTTTTAATGAATGTGGACCTGTTGTGCATTAGGGTCTTGTGGTTTGTGATCCGAATTGGCTGCTTTGCAGAAAGTAAGCCTTGTGATTGAAGAAATTGGAGGCGTGACAGGAGTGTATTTGTTGCCACTAAAAGTTCAGCTTAGATAGTAAAAAAATTTAAATGGAAATAGGAGAGGAGCTCAAATTCAGGAGTTCTGCTGTATGCACTTGAACAGGCACTTTTTTCATATCGGTCCTCACTGAGATATTACAGCATTCAGTGCTTTTAAAGGAGCCATTCTTTCTGGAGAGACTTGCGGTTTTTAGTCCCCAAATGCCAGAAGAACTGGCATTTCAGCTGGCAAGTCACAGGAAGAAAGAGTTGGCACTGCATTTCTCACACTCTTTTGACTAAAGTGCCTCTGAGAAGCATTTGATTACGTGTCAAAGTGTGTGTCACGTTTAGATCGAGTCTGGCTTCCCCAAACGTGCACTTTTTCCTTGTGCTCTTTGTTCTTCTCGGGATAAACTTGCCTCAGCACCCCTCAGAACATCCTGGGACAGCACAGGCTCCTGTTTCAGGACGTTATTTTTCCTCAGCTCTCTCGAGCTGTTTGCTGGTTGCTTTCTGGCCAAAGAAAAATGCTGCTCATCTCCAGCACTGGCCACTTTCGCACACGTAAAGCTCGGTTCCCGTTCTGTTCTCTTCGGTAAGTTACTTTCAGACCGCGTTCAACATGTGTCACATCTTTTGTCCCCCAGGATTTTGGCTCTGGAGAAGCTGGGAGCAGTCTTCAACCAGGTTGCCTTCCCGTTGCAGTACACGCCCCGAAAATTTGTCATTCACCCAGAGAGCAACAACCTGATCATCATCGAGACGGACCACAACGCTTACACGGAGGCCACCAAGGCGCAGAGGAAGCAGCAGATGGCCGAGGTAATCGGGTTGGGGGACAGGTATGCTCAGATATCCGTTGCACAGAGGGCGCTTGGGTGTCTGGAAATCCTCCCTGCTGCCGTTGCCTGCGAGTTTTTGTGCCCTATGAGTGCAGGAGCTGAAGGGAGGGAAGATGTGCCTGAAAACAGAAATCTCAGCAGAATTTACTCCTTTCTTTGCATATTACCACGGCAGGCTTTTAAGAACCACGTACTAGAGCACAATCGCGCTTGTGTAATGCCATTCTTTGGGTCTTCGGTGACTTTTTGAGAATGTTTAGATTTTTGTGGGTTCTTTTCCTTCTTGCTGTTGTTTCCAGAGTTGTTGATTTGGAGAAATAGCTCCCCGGACAACCGCCTGTTGGGCCAGGCGCAGCTGAGACTGCTGCGCTCCGAGCTGCAGAGGCTCCCTTGGGAATAAGCTCAGGCTGAGTGGAAGCTTTGGGATTTGGTGGCTTTAATGTCTTTACAGGCAGTACTTTGCCCTGGAATACCTGAGCTTGAGGGGAAATGGAAGCCGTATTCTGGAAAAGAAATCCACTGAGCTGTTCTTTTCTCCTGTCCTTTAACGTGCCGTAGGAAATGGTGGAGGCTGCGGGTGAAGATGAGAGGGAGTTGGCTGCAGAGATGGCTGCAGCTTTTCTGAACGAGAACCTTCCCGAGTCCATCTTCGGTGCTCCCAAGGCAGGGAATGGACAGTGGGCCTCTGTCATCAGGGTGATGAACCCCATCCAGGGAAATACGTTAGATCTGGTCCAGCTAGAGCAGAACGAAGCTGCCTTCAGGTAAGAAGTGTTGCCAGCTAGGACAAAGGTCTCTGCTTGTGCTGAGTCATGTGGGGTTTTTTTGTTGTGGTTTTTTTTTTCTTCCTTTTGCTGAGCTGTCACAGAGTTGAAATCCAGCTGCAGAACGTTATCAAGAGACTGGCATGAAATTCCCGCAGCTATCACCACGTGCTTAAAGCTTTTTGTCTTGCCTTTCCTTCCGTTCCCACCCTGGTCTGTCTTCATGTGGCACTGGAAGTGCTGGTGCTCCAGATGTGTTTGCCAGACCCCCCAGGTGCTTGAAGAACAACACAGGGATGTCAGGGACAGATAAGAGAGAATATGCTGCTACCTCTCGCTTCCCCTTCTCATTGAGATAAACTGAGTGGAAATTAAAAGGAAAGGAAGTGTTTAGAGGGACTGGAGGGGAAGATCAGCACAATAACCACGAAGAACAGCGAGTGCCTCAGCAGGTGAAGCAGAGTTAGGTCATGTTAGTCCAAAAGGCTGACTCTGCCCTGTTTTGTCCAGGATTCCCAACCTGGCTAAGCAGGAAATAACACTGGAAGGCGAGGAAAGTGAAATGTACATGTTGAAATTGGAACAACCTTTGAAAAACAGCTTCTGGTGGAGATTTGTGCACTGCTAGGCAGTGTCCAGCCTGTGAAAGCGTGAAAGTAACGCTTTGGGCATTGTGAAATGATAAAAGTAGCACTTTGGGCAGTATGTGACGGCTAGAGCACGTCTTTTTATACATAGAGTGTGGAAAAGTGAAGGAATCAGCGTTAAACACTTCTCCAGGCAATAAAAAATGAAATGTTGGAAGGTTAGGCTCCCAAGTCTCTGCCTGGCTTGGTGCGAATTGTGCTGTCGTGCCCTTGCGCGCAGCATTCGTTCGTGTCACCATCACTCTGATCTCCTGACGTGTTTGTCATCCCCAGCGTGGCCGTGTGCCGGTTCTCCAACACCGGTGATGACTGGTACGTGCTGGTGGGAGTTGCCAAGGACCTGATTCTGAACCCACGCTCAGTTGCCGGGGGATTTGTCTACACGTACAAGCTGGTGAATAGCGGTGAGAAGCTGGAATTTCTGCACAAGGTGAGGGGGATGACCGGGTCACTTACAGGCAGTGTTGGAATGGCTTTTGACTTCACAGAGTGCTCTAGTAGTGTCGCAACACTCCACTAATACTGGGCAAGGTTGTCATGCTGATGTTATGCCTTGGAAGCACCCTTGGAGAAAATAAGCTGCCTCCTACAAAATCACTTGGGACCTCTTCTGCAGAGCTGAGAATCAAACAGACGTCTCCCTGCGGTTCCAGTCCCTTCCCTTAGCTATAGTCTTAGCCATCTCATTGGGTAAGTGGGAAGGGAGCTGTGTTTTTCATGCTGTTAGGGAGGGGAGAGGAACAGCTCTGTTTAGTTTTCGGAGCATGAGCTCAGAGAGCTGCTCTGAACACTTGTTTACAAAGTGAATTTGTGCTTGGGTCACTTGAACCCTGGTGCGAGGGCTCTCGGCGCTTGGCTGGCCACCTGAATCTGGTGTGAGCTGTCGTCGTTCCTCTGATGCTGTTTTGGTTGCCCATAGAAATGATTAAGTCGCCTCGTGACCAGCTTGCTTGACAGGTCTCTGGGGCTTCAGCGAGGATTTCAGCAGAACTCCGTTCAAACAAAATTCTCCTCCTTCCCACGTGCTTCCAGCGTGGCTGAGATGCGAGCGGATGAGCACGTGGAAAGGAATGTTGTGGCTTATTCACTTCCTACAGCCCTGATGCAACGAGTGGGTTCTCTCCTGGACCGGGGCCTTCTCTTTTGCCACTGAACGCCCACTTGGAAGTCGACAGAGCTGATGTGAAATAACTTCTCCCAGCTGGTGCAGCCAAGCTAGGAATGTTCTAACTGCAAGCTCTCTCTGTGTTTCCATTCTCTGCTAGGGCTGATTCTTTTGGGGTTGATTAGTGGTAGGAGACATCTCAGCCCCGTCTGGGTTCCTGGAATTGCGGGTACGGCGTAATTCTTCAGATGCAACGCTGCTTTGGCAGAAGCTCCAGAGCTTCCATGGCAGGTGGCCGAATTGGTTTCGTGCCTTTGGTTTAAAAACAGCCAATCTGGGTGGATTTAGGCAAAGCGTAAGAATCTTTTTGTTGGAGGATAAAGCAAAACTGAAAACGGAGGTGATGAGATCCTTGCCTCCCGTTGCTGCCTGCCTGGTGCAGGGTTCTTACGGCGGTCCTGTGCTTGAGCTCAGGTGTGCTGCCAGCGCCGTGTTGTGCCCAGAGCCCTGTTAGTGCCGAGTGTAGTACGTGCTGCTGTCAGAACACCTGCAGAGGACTGACCTTTCGGCCCTCCTCCTGTAGGAAAAGATCCTGATTGGCCTTTTATGTCGAAAGCGTTTGGCACAGGCCGACGAGCTGCAGGTGAACCATGAGCTGACTCCATTCTGAAGCTTGGTGCAAGGTTAGCTCTGCTAATGGGGGTCTCACAATCTCCTCCTTCCCTCTCCAGACCCCCGTGGAGGAGGTGCCTGCAGCCATCGCTCCGTTCCAAGGTAGAGTCTTAATCGGAGTTGGAAAGCTCTTGCGTGTGTATGACCTCGGCAAGAAGAAACTGCTTCGGAAGTGTGAGAATAAGGTACTGGCTTTTGTTCTTGAGCACAGCTGTTCATTTTGGAGCAAGCGAGGTTTTGCAGCAGGAAGAAAACAAGGGCTCAGCCGCTACTGCCTTGCCGATGCGCAGGCATCACATGGCGTTCCCGTTCCGACAGCGGCCTTGCCGGTTCCTTTTTGTACCAGCTCACTGCAGGGTGTTAAGAGACACGTACAGGAGCCTCTCAAGGCTCTACAGACCAGACCTTGGGCCGTCTGCTGCAAATGTGGGAGGTCTCATCCAGGTACTGAAGAGCAACTACTGGCTAAGTTTGCCTGGGTGACCAGCAGGCTGGGGACTGAAATTGGAGGGTGTATGTAAGTGAGTACCTCTTCACATCCCCAGAATCTTAAAAAAAGGGGATGTTCTCCTTGAAGCAGATGGTCCTTCTTGCTGAGCATCTCAGGAGAAAAAACCTGCAGAACGTGGTTTTCTAACTTTTAATTGCCTGCTCCTCCCTGTCCCGTGCAAGCTGCAGAGCCTGTGCCAGTTGCTCGTTAACAGCACAAGGGAACTCCAGCAAGCTCGCAGGCACACTGGGAACTTGTAGGAGAATTTTTGGATTTTGAGTGTTCGTGGATTTTATTTTTTATCTAAAACATGACTCATGAAAAATCAAAGCTTTCCTTCTTGCGTCTTTCATGAGTCACAGTTCACAGGGGGAAATTCTGTTTCAGCTGGAGTAGGGTAGAGTTAATGGGTTACGCTTCCCTGTTTGAAGCACTTGGGCTTTGTCCTTTTTTTTTCTCTCCAAAGCACATTGCCAACTACATCTGCGGGATCCAAACCATTGGGCACAGGGTGATTGTTTCGGACGTTCAGGAGAGTTTCATCTGGGTGCGCTACAAAAGGAACGAGAACCAGCTCATCATCTTCGCCGACGACACTTACCCCCGGTGGGTCACTACAGCAACTCTCCTGGATTATGACACCGTGGCTGGAGCAGACAAGTTTGGCAACATCTGCGTGGTGAGTGTGCCTCAGAGAAGGTTGGGGCTTTTTTGGACACAACCCATTTTTCCTTAAAACATCCGTGATTTGTCTCAAAAGAATGAGAATCAGTGCTTAGCTGGAGACAACGCCCTGTACCATTCACTTGTTTTTTAAGGGGCGACCAGCTGTCGTCATAGCGGATGGCCGCAGTTTATCAGTTTGTCCAAGCAAACAAGTTAAGGCATCAGCAGGTCATATTGCTGAAGTATTCCATAGCTTGGGTTGAAATTGCCCCAAAACTTGCTGTGGATAAGCCTTGAAGTGAAGCTCGTGACTGTGAAAGGGCCCAGGAGAACGTGAGTCAGGCCTGTCGCTCTTACTTTCCCGGGCTAAACCTCCTCGCTGACATTTAGTGTTCTCTTGTCGCTTCCTCTTGAAAGTCAACGCCGTTGGTGCTGACACTTCCCCACTTGGCTGGATTTCAGCAAGGGATGAGGGGGGAAGAGAAGGTCTTTCTGCCAGAGCTTTGATCTCTTTTCTTAAGAAGCGTGCCTTGGAGTGCAGAGGTTAGCAAGGGGCAGACGCCATGCCTGCAGGATTTGGCTGACATGTGCTGATAATCAGTCCTTTTCAGTTTTCCCGCCCTGCTCTATCAAACTGTTCCCTTAACGGGAAGCACCTTCATTTTTGACTGTACCTCCTGGCGTCATCAGCGAGTACCAGGCCAGGCAGAGGCTGTTCAGGAGGTCCTGCCCTGCCCGTGTTTTTGAGCGATGGGCCATCAATTTGGACAACGTGGTTCTTTCACTCTACAGTTGGGGCAAGTGGATGATTTTGCTCTAAGTGATTCTTGTAGAGTCCAAAAGCCTTTCAGAGACTGCAGTGATTCTTGAAAGGTAACGTGCTGCTTCTCTCCAGCTTGGTATCGCAACTCCCTTCCTCTTTCAACGCAGGTGAGATTGCCTCCCAACACCAATGACGAGGTAGACGAGGATCCCACGGGCAACAAAGCTCTCTGGGACAGGGGGCTTCTCAATGGAGCGTCACAGAAGGTAAGTGCCTCGTGGGAAGCAGGGAGAGAATATGCTGCTTTTCTGTGAAGTCCTCTGCCCAGATGTGTCAGGAGTTTGGCTCCTGTGCAAATCCCGCCCGCTGGGTGTTTTCACTGTCGCTGGGAGCCAGACTCACTTTCTGAAGTCATGGCTGATGCCTGTTCAGTGATGCTTGATTGGAGCAGCACGCTCGGTTTCTTTTCCTGCTTTCCCTCCTCACTTGCATCCGTTCGGCCAGCTCCAGAGGGTAAATGGGACGGCATGCTGGGTATTGCCATCTGCTCACAGGTGGAAGGCACTTCCTCTTTAGAAAAAAGCCTTTCAGAACTAGCAGGTGGCCGAATTTCTTCTCCTTCCCTCTCTCAAGCCTTTTGATCCTTTTTATATAAGCTAGAGGGAAAAAAAACCCAACAAAAAAACCCAAACTAGCTTCTGTGGTTGGCTTTCAGGCTGAAGTGATTATGAATTACCACGTGGGAGAGACGGTGCTCTCCTTACAGAAGACCACGCTAATCCCGGGAGGCTCGGAATCTCTTGTCTACACCACCTTATCAGGGGGGATAGGAATCTTGGTCCCTTTTACTTCCCATGAGGTAAGCGAGCCCCGTCGTTAACGCTGCGGACTTGCTGCTTTTCCCTGTGTCCATCCTCAGTTTATTACCTTGAGGGCATGAAAACCCCAGGCTGCAGGAAAGCCTGTGGCTGTGGGATTGGCTCCGACGCAGACGGGGAGAGGAGCAGCTGGGTGACTGGTTTTTCTGTGTGGATTCCATGAAGAGTTGAAGAGCTTCTCTTGTTGTGCTGCTGTTCTGCATCTGTTTGTGCTCTGGGTGATGTAGCCTGTCTGTGAGGAGGGGTCTCTTGGCATTCTTTGTGTAGGGGTGCGTAGCCCGTAAACTATGGATGCTTCAAGTCCTGAAGGTTTTATTCTCTGCTTTACTGGCTGCGGGTGCCGAGGTACTTCTTTTTGAGCTGAGCAAACTGCTCTCTTACTGATCCCTTTGTCTTCGCAGGATCACGACTTCTTCCAGCATGTGGAAATGCACTTAAGGTCTGAGCACCCTCCTCTCTGTGGACGAGACCATCTCAGTTTCCGCTCCTACTACTTCCCGGTGAAGGTAGGTCAGAGTATTTAGGATGGAGCTGGTCACAGCAGGGCGAGGACTCGCTTTAGGACGTGGAACTGCTTCGGGGCTTGGCGGAAGCATGATGGGGAAGGCTGAGGGGATGCAAACCGTAGCTGGTGTAGTGACTGTATAGGAGCTGGAGCTAGTGCTTGGATAGCACAATGTAAGGAGTACCTGTGGTAACTACTACCAGAGTAACACGTGTAGTATTAGTGAGAAAACTGTCCCAGCAGCTGAAGCTGTCCGAGGACAGAGGGTGTTCGTCTTCTCACCGAGCTTGAGGCTGATTTGCCACAAGCACAGCATCAGAGATGTCTCACACCCAACTGAGGATGCCCCTCAGTGATGGTTTTGAGATCTCCCCCAGCCCTCCCAGCACTGCGCGTGGGACCCGTCTTCCCTTCCCTCGTGTGATCCTTCAGCTGCACCCGGGCTTTGTGGGGTTTCTCTTTCGTTAATCAAGCTGGCCGGTAATTAATTTTGATACTGACTGCTGCTATTCAACAGATGAGGTCACTGAGCATGGCCTTGTTTCCAGGCCAGGATTAAGAAGCTCCGGGGATCGAGCTATTTGTTGCTGGTTTTCACCGTTTAGGCAGGGTTCGGTGCCTCTGCTTTGGGTCGATTCAGTGCTCGCTTCCTTGCCCCTCCAGAACGTGATCGACGGGGACCTGTGCGAGCAGTTCAACTCCATGGAGCCTAACAAACAGAAAAACGTGGCCGAGGAGCTGGACCGGACCCCGCCCGAGGTGTCCAAGAAGCTGGAAGACATCCGCACGCGCTACGCTTTCTGAGC